CTACGCTCCTACACGACTCCACTACTTGGCGCTCCAGTAACGCATATCACGTCCTTCCTGATTCTCCATGAGATAACGGCGATTGTGCCGCTGTTTGGATTAGTGGGGGCATTCCATTATGGGAATTGGATACCGGATTGGGGATCTGGCGGTGCGTTTGATGAGGGGATTCAGCGGTTTGGGAAGTGGTTAAGGAAGAAAGGCTGGGTGGACGAGGGGGATGTGTCATCTGTGAATGATGAGGTGCAGTCTGGGGAATTGAAGACTGAGCGGAAAGGGACTAGGCTGGTGCTGGAGTTTGCGACTGCTTATGCCGTTATTAAGGCACTTCTACCGGTCCGCATTGCTGCGAGTGTATGGGCAACACCGTGGTTCGCAAGGTCCGTTCTGGCCCCGCTAGGTAAAGGAGCAAGGACCTTGTTTGGGAGGAAATAGGACAAGGTGACTGCTGCTACCTAGCCAGGGTTACTTGATTACGACTGTACAGAGCTTGTAGGTATCATGTAAATCTATTCTCATGACATTATTTTGATTTGTTCTTCCTAGATCAATGACTGTGGAAGAATTTAAACCTTCTCGTAGATCCACTCAGCCTGAGCCTGCTTGTAGCTCTTGACCTCATCAGGGGCGAACCAGAGGGAGATCTCCTTCTGAGCGCTCTCAACGCTGTCGGAGCCGTGGCAGACGTTACGGCCAACGTCGATGGCGAAGTCACCACGGATGGTGCCAGGGGCGGAGGCAAGGGGGTTGGTGGCACCAAGGATGGCTATCATAGGTTAGCAAATGATGCGGATTGAGGTAGGATGTAGAAAAGAGCTTACTGCGGCCGGTCTTGACGACGTCACGGCCCTCCCAGACCATAGCGACGACGGGGCCGCTCAGCATGTCTAGTTTGTTATTAGCATGCTTCTCCAATTCGAGACAATTCAATAGGTTACTCACAGGTGATGAGGCCGGGGAAGAAGGGCTTGCCGGCAAGGTCGGCGTAGTGCTTCTCAAGGTGCTCCTTGGAGGGAGTGGCGAGCTTCAGGGCAGCGAGCTTGAAGCTATTGGACGTTAGCACCGCCCTGTTTCAAGTATGCGACAGGGGAGATACGAACCCACGGTTCTCGAAGCGAGAGACGATGGGGCCAACGAGTCCACGCTGATCCATTGTCAGTGACCTTGCTTTATTTCACACCACAGTATTGTAAATCCATACCTGGACACCGTCGGGCTTGATGGCAATGAAGCTGTGACAATTGTTAGCTCTCCGTAGCAGTGAGGGGTAGCCAAAAAAAACTCCAAAACGAGATGTAATCCAGCAGAGGGATGAGGAGTAGGTAGAAAGCGAGGGAATTGACTTACGTCTGCTCGGTAGACATTTTGAGGGGTTGTAGTGGTGATTGATATAGGACAATCGAGAAGAGACACTGGAATGAGAGGAAAAAAGAAGACTTGGAGGAGGTTGAGTTGGCGAAAAATAAAAATGGATGTGGGGCAGGAGGGGTTATCTGCCTGAATGCCTGACTCTCGTCTGATTATCGCCTTACAGACCAGGCATCATTCCCCGACTTCCAAGACCGCTTAGCGCCGCGCTAACCCAATCGGGACAGCTCTCTCCATCTGGACAGCTGGAATTACGTCCATCGAACCGCATTGCCTACGAAGGTGCTGTATAGACTGCTCGATGCAGCCTCTTTTATCTTATCATTGAACTACTACACATTATTTGTTGATCAACAATCATGGCCCGGAGCTGGCCAGTGTCCGTCCGGTGGACGCTATTGCTCTTGGTGGTGATATTGGGATGGCTTGTGGTCCCTGGAGGTGAGTTCGACAGGTGGAAAGGAACCACACATTCAATGATTCTGACATATTCTAGTGACCGTGAAGCGTGAAAGCTTCAAGTATTGCTCGCAATCCGGCTTCTGTAAGCGAAACAGGGCGTACGCCGACGAGGTCTCCGCCAAGGGCTCATCCTGGAGCTCCCCATACGAACTCGAACCGTCAACAATTCAATTCAAAGACTCCCAATTACATGGAGTAATTGTCAAGACAACGTCCGAAAACGAGAAAGTCCGCCTGCCACTCACAGTATCCTTCCTCGAATCCGGTGCCGCGCGGGTCGTGATCGACGAAGAGAAGCGCTTGAAGGGAGAAATCGATCTTCGACACAACAGCCAGATCCGCAAGGAACGGTATAACGAGGCTGAGAAATGGGCTGTGGTTGGAGGCTTGGACTTGAGCAAGTCCGCGACGCTGAACGCGAATACTGAGGAGGGCCTCACCAAGGTGCTCTACGGTCCCGGAAGCTCATTCCAGGCAATCATTCGCCACGCACCCTTCGATGTGGAATTTCAAAGGGACGGTGAAACGCATGTTCAATTCAACAAGCAGGGCTATTTGAACATGGAACATTGGCGGCCGAAGTTGGAGCCCGAAGAAGACAGCCCGGAGGATCAGAGCACATGGTGGGAAGAGACCTTTGATGGAAACACTGATTCCAAGCCTCGTGGCCCTGAGAGTCTTGGCCTGGACATCTCTTTCCCAGGCTACAGCCATGTTTTTGGAATTCCGGAGCATGCCGACTCGCTTTCCTTGAGGGAGACTAGGGGAGGATCTGGAAACCATGAAGATCCATATCGTTTGTACAACTCCGACATTTTCGAGTACGAGCTGAACAGCCCCATGACTCTGTATGGCGCTATTCCCCTAATGCAGGCCCATCGAAAAGACTCGACCGTCGGTGTATTCTGGCTCAATGCTGCCGAGACCTGGATTGACATTGTCAAGTCCAGCTCGTCTGCCAACCCGTTATCTCTAGGTGTGGGCTCCAAGACTACCACTCATAGCCACTGGATTTCGGAAGCTGGTCAGCTGGATGTCTTCGTTTTCTTGGGACCCTCGCCCCGAGACATCAGCAAGACCTACGGAGAACTCACTGGATACACACAGCTGCCCCAGCAGTTTGCTATCGCATACCACCAGTGTCGCTGGAACTACGTCACTGATGAAGATGTCAAGGAGGTCGACGCCCAGTTTGACAAGTACCAGATCCCTTATGATGTTATCTGGCTTGACGTCGACTACACCGATGACCGGAAGTACTTTACCTGGGATCCGATGACCTTCCCTAATCCAATTAGTATGGAAGAGCAGCTCGACGACTCGGAGCGTAAGCTTGTGGTTCTCATTGATCCTCATATCAAAAATGAGGACGGCTACTTTGTCTCTGAAGAAATGAAGAAACAAGGGTTTGCTGTTAAGAACAAGGACGGGAATATCTACGATGGACACTGTTGGCCGGGTGCATCCAACTGGATCGATTGCTTCAACCCCGAAGCTGCCAAATGGTGGTCTACACTGTATAAGTATGACAAGTTCAAGGGCTCGTCTCCAAATGTCTTCATTTGGAACGACATGAACGAACCTTCCGTTTTCGACGGACCTGAAGTCACGATGCCCAAGGACAACATCCATTGGGGCAATTGGGAGCACCGTGATATCCATAATATCAATGGTGTGACATTGCTGAACTCCACCTTCAAGGCGCTGACGACCCGCAAGAAAGGCGAGAACCGACGTCCATTCATTCTGACCCGGTCTTACTACGCTGGAGCGCAGCGAGTGGCTGCCACGTGGACGGGAGATAACCAGGCCACGTGGGACCATCTGGCCATTACACTTCCCATGGTTTTGAACAATGGGATCTCCGGCTTCCCATTTGCTGGCGCTGATGTTGGCGGCTTCTTCCACAACCCGGGTCCGGAGCTCTTGACCAGATGGTATCAAACCGGTATTTGGTACCCATTCTTCCGCGCACATGCCCACATCGAGACTCGCAGGCGAGAACCGTACCTAGTCAACCAACCTCACCGCGACTACATTTCCCAGGCGCTTCGCTTGAGATACCAGCTTTTGCCCGCGTGGTACACCGCTTTCCACGAAGCCTCCGTCAACGGAACTCCGATCGTGAGACCTCAATTCTACGTGCATCCAACTGATGAGCAAGGCTTTGCTCTCGATGATCAGCTCTACTTCGGATCTACTGGTCTGCTGACCAAGCCTGTTGTTTCCGAGGGTGCGAACTCTGCGGACATCTACATCTCGGATGACGAGAAGTACTACGACTACTTCGACTACACCGTTTACCAGGGCGCGAAGAAGAGACACACCGTTCCCGCTCCCATCGAAAAGGTCCCGCTCTTGATGCAGGGTGGTCATGTCCTTCCCCGCAAGGACCGCCCTCGCCGCAGCAGTGGCTTGATGAAGTGGGACCCATACACCCTCGTTATCACCCTGGATAAGAACGGCGAAGCCGACGGCACCTTGTACGTGGACGACGGCGAAAGCTACGAGTACCAGCGTGGCGCCTACATCCACCGTAGCTTCCACTTCCAGGACTCTGTCCTGTCCTCTCACGACATCGGCACCAAGGGTCCCAAAACCGCCGAGTACTTGAAGACAATGAGCAACGTCAAGGTGGAGAAGGTGGTTGTCATTGATCCTCCCAAGGAATGGCAGGATAAGGTCAGTGTGACCATCATCGAAGACGGTGCTACGACGGGAACTACTGCCTCGATACAGTACTTCTCCCAGCCGGCTGGAAAGGCGCCGTATACTGTTGTGAAGAAGCCAGGTGTTGCCATTGGAAAGACATGGCGGATTGAGTTTTAATTATAGTACAGATTGATTGAAAGTACATTGGAATGAATGCCACGTTTTCTTACACTGTCCTGCATCTTCTGCCATAATAGAGCCCGGGACATCATTAGCGGCTTGACGTTGTAGCCTTACCACCAGCTTGCACTTTCAAAGAACATGATGACAATCAAAAGTGAGGTTGGTAGATAGTTGTAAAGCCCAAGTTACAGCAGTATATATTCTCGGACAGATTAGTCTCATTCACTTGCTATCTCGTATCTTTCAGGGCTCGAGTTTGGTGAATTATGGAACACACGTGATTTGGACCTAGTCAGATCTTTTGGCAACTCCTATTTCGATTAACACAAATGAAAATGCCATATTTCAAATCGTTCCCACTTCCTCGAGTGATTAAAAGACACCCCAAGGCCGCAGAATACTCATCAAGAACCATGGAAGTCCCCATACTTTTGCGATTTTCCCGACGCTGAGCCTATCTGGCATTATGAAGACGGTGGTTTTCATCCCATTGCCTTAGGAGACAAATTGAAAGATGGGAGATACAAAGTGCTGCATAAAATGGGATGGGGAGGCCACTCTACGGGTTGGACTGCAAGAGATCAACGGTATACAGACAGCATTTGTGATTGATCGATTGCTAACTCATCGACAGAAATGGGATAAATGTTGCCGTCAAGGTCTGTGGTTCAACCAGGGGAATCAATGTGGTCAATAGAGAAATGCCAATGATGAAGCAACTTGCGGGCATTTATCCCGGCCCCTCGAACTTGATGTGCATGTTCGATGCATTCGACATAGAAGGCCCAAATGGGCGTCATGAATGCCTGGTGTTGGAGCTTTTAGGGCCAAGTGTCGTAGACACGGCTGAAAGGCTCTCCGGAAAGGTCGCTAAGTCAATTGCAAAGCAAGCTTTGTCTGGGCTTGACGCTCTGCACCGGCAGGGGATTGGGCATGGAGGTAAGCTACAGTAACATAAAGAGCACTTCATAGCATACTCATTCATTCTAGACCTCTACATGTACAACTTAGTCTTCACTCTCCCTGACGTGGACCGTTTGTCCGAGAGGAGACTACTCGACGTACTAGGTGAACCAAAAATCAGCAAAGTCAGAAGAGATGACGGGGGATCACTGGAACCTGGAATACCGGAGTACATTGTGGAGCCAGTTTCTTTTCGAAAACACGCTTCATTATTGTCGCAACCCATTAAGATCGTTGACTTCGGACAATCGTTCTTGCCTAATGCACCTCCTCAGACGCTTCATATACCCATAGTTTATCGGGCACCTGAAATTGTATTCAAGGATCGTTTGGACTATCGCGTGGACTTACGGAGCAGGGTGTGTACGGTAAGTAGAGTAGCAGACATTCAGTCACTGAAGGTGATCTGACAAATATGACAGCTATCCGAGCTATTTACTGGTTACCCACCTTTTGAAAGTGTTATGATGACACCAGAAGATCTCGTTGATGAAATGTTAGAAACGACAACCGATGCACTACCTGATAGATGGAAGGAGGCCAGGAATGCAATACAAAATGGCCGTACTGAAGCATATAGCGGGTACTCTTTGCAAGGCTGGTTGGAAGAGATTTACTTCGATTACAGGCTGAAGCAGGACTTGACAAGGGAAGATAGTCACATTGGGAGAGATTGTCGGCAGAATGCTACGGTTTGAGCCGGGCACGAGGGCTTCTGCGAGGGAGGTCTCGGAGAATCCCTGGATTAGTAAAGAAGTCTGGCACAGTATACGTGGGTAGTTCCCTTTGGAAATAGTAAGCATATGAATTTGAATCTCTTGAATCTCTCATTCTATAGATCACTATGGCCTCGGGCATATATAAGCCACGCTAACCCGATCCAGAATAGTACGCTGAGTCAGCCCAGGGTGATTGCGACTGAAGTTCGCCTTGACTTTCTTCGTCCCAGTTTTGACCACGATTGCTTTCTGTCTTCTTTTGCTATCGATTGTCTGTGGCATAGCTACCTCTTCGCTGCTCTTATTGTATTTCCGGGGCGCAATTCGAACCGGCATCGGACTGTTGACCGTCGCAAACCCGCTTCGCAACCGCGTCGACCGTCGGACTTCCTCCTACAGGACAGACTTTGCTTGGCAATTGTCCCCTACATTTCCGGCTGGATCTATTACTCAATCGATTCGTTTTCTTGGCGGGCCGTTACCATATCCACGATGTATCTGATATCGAAAGCTTTGCAATATGGCGCTCCATTCTTGTGCGTAACCGACTCCCGGAAGACCCGCAAACGCCCGGTAGATTATGGCCATGCTAACCGTTGCTGTACAATAGCATTATCACGTCGCCGGTGACGTCCTACGCAGATCAGATTATCAGTATCAATCGAAACAGGAGCTCGGCTGGGTTTTCGCTGGACATTCCGTTGATTATGCTTATCGCGTCGGTTATGAAGTAAGATTCAGGTTTGGACGGCGGGTTATTCGGCATTGGCGGTTAACACTTTCGCAATAGGGTATTCTATTGGTTCGGCGCTTACTACGATGTCTCGCTGCTGGTACAAGCTGTGATTACAATCGGGGTTCAGATCGTGTTGCTCAAGGTTGCACTGGATAACAGGCCGTCTCCGGGGATCAAGAGCGGGATCGAGCATACGCCGTTCAGTAACCTCGATGCAGGCGGATTGTCCAGGCCATATGAGTTCTGGCAATGGAAGAATGCTAGGCCGTATGTCCCGCTCACATGTTACCATCCCCTCAATCGCATGGTGAACTGACATAGCATATTCGCTAGGTACTGGATGTTCCTCGCGTATTTCGCCGCTAGCCTGTCCTTTATCCACGTCTTGATGTCCTACTCACAAACCTACATCGACCTGCTGGGCTATGTCGGTCTAGCCATTGAGGCAACGCTCCCATTGCCTCAAATCATTGCCAACCACAGCTCCCGCTCGTGCAAAGGATTCCGTCTCTCCGTCGTCGCAGCATGGGTTCTTGGTGACACGATGAAGCTCAGCTACTTCTTTTTTGGTGGACAGTTTGTTCCCTGGGCGTTCCGTCTGTGCGCCATGTTTCAATGCGTTTGTGACTGCTACCTCGGATTCCAGTTCTACTTGTACACTCCTCAGGTTGCGGGCAGCCCTAGGAACCAGGAGAGCTGGGGGGCCGAGGAGAAGGATATTCGGATGACTTGATGCATTGATGAACCTTTTACGTTGTAGCGGTACTTTGTGTACTGTATATAGATAGATTTTGTTGTAATACTTACGAGATAAACTAGGATATAGTTATAGTGATAGATTGACTAATGAAGATGAATAAGAAGCCATTGAGCGTTTCGATTTAGTCGTAATGCATGTAGCCTCAATGTCACACCTGAGATCTCCATATTCTCAATATCCGTCCGCACAAACGCATAGCCTGGGCGTTGGTTATATTAACTGAACGTCTGGTTCAAGGAGAAATGACTTGCATCCATGTGAGTCACAGATATGAGCCCTCCTAGCGCCCCCTGAACGTTGCTGATTATCAGACAAGCCCTGAAACCTAAAGGTACTGTGGGTGTCTTTCCATATCATGACATGGTCATTTTTAGGCCTTGTGTCATTGTAGCTAACTCGTATAGAATCTGAAGTCAGAGCCCCTTCACGACACAGCAGCACCGAGAGCTCTTTCCACATCACAGCGACGGAATCCCGGAGAACGACCCAAGCAAATACACTTGCTTATCAGTGCTACACGGAAGTCAGAGCTCGGTCGAAAAAGAAGAAAAACAGGAAACAGCCTCTTACCGTGCATCAGACGAGCTACGCTGACCATAGCTCGCCTTGGCGAACTTGGTCTAGATTCTGCGGGATCGCATGCGAATTTATAAACACCCTTTTGGCGGAGAAACCCTTCCAAATCCTGTATAGTAAACCATTCCCCATTCAGGTCTTCTTGAATTTCGGGAGGAAACTGCGCCAAGGGATCCTGGACTGTGACCCATTGTTGGGAAAGAGAGAGCTTTCCACTACTACTCCCTGGTAACGCATGCATACCTGCCCCACCCAAGCTAAAGAATGGTACGTCTTTCCATCCATCCAGCCGCCGTCGGCTAAGTCGACACTGAAGTGCTGCTTCAAAGTAAGAGGTCAGACGCTCTCGACTCATGAAAGTTAGGAGAAGGCGGAACGGTCTTTGTAGACGATCCATGGTGATGGTTCTGTCGCGCAAGGCCATATATCCTTGATAAACGCAAGCGATGTGTAATCTCTCCATAAATACAGGTAATTCGATGTCTGTAACCTCTGTCGAGCCGGAAATACATGGGGAATTGCCAATGGTGGCGTCTTGCAATCTTACATGATTTGCGGCGAAAGGCTGGGAGGTATTCAACTGCGAGCGAGCGATAAGCTCAACCATCCAAGATTGAACGGGGTTTATATCTGCTTCCCTTGGGGGTGTGGAAGGAGACTCCTCACTTGCTGGGAATGCATCGGGAGTCTCTCGTTCACAGCCTGCTTCATTGACGGAGCGCAGACATGTCAACACAGTACCATGTAGATGAGTTGCAAGCTCGGGGTTAGATTCCAACGCGCCAGATTGGACCAGCCGTTGGCTAAGTGAAAGAACAGACGTGCTCATGTTCTCAACTGCGTTCTCCAGCTGCGCAATACGGTCCTTATAGCGTGTAAGACTCCTTTCCCGTCGCGAGCGGTAAGCCCTCTGTGCCAGTCGTATTTGCAACCGGCGACGCTTTATCGGTTAGCAACAAGATTGATGCATTTTATCAGAATGAGGCCCATTTTAAGGGTACTTTGTACGCACCTCCTCGGGGTCTTCATCCAACACGTCAGCCGCATCTTTCCGTGGCCTACCCCGTTTTCTCGGGGAAAGACTGCTTGTGCCCAGCTCACTGCGATGCCGCAAATATTTATTTTCTGGAGTTGATGTGGACTGAATGCTCTGATCTAGTTCATCTTGACTTGACGGGGTTTCAATGAAGAGCCCGCCGTATAGAGGAGCCTCTTGGCGTTGGTCACCCTGTGGAATTGAAGTCTCAGGCATCGGGTACGAAGATGCAGACAATAGAGACTCAATGCTGTTAAAGGGTGTAGATTCTCGCATGGATGGCCGATCCTGGGGAGGGAGCAACAGCTTCTGCTGAAGTTCCTCCCAAGACAAGAATGGCGTGTCTGTATTCAGGAATTCCTCAGGGGACTGGACCCCGAATTGATGTGTTCTGGAGTTATTGGACATTTTGGGACTAAGAATGGTATTGTATACTTAAGTTTCTGAGGGGAGTAGAGATGGAGTTGAAGTCCCGGTTTCCTATTTGGGTGGTCTATGCTCATCTTGCTTTCATAGCCATGCATAACCGTGCATAAATCACCTTTAACCTCGGCTCGGACTGTTCACTAATCATAATTCGGCTCCTACTTGAAATCAAAGCACGACATATACGGTTTCGAAAATTCATGGACTCATACAGAAATGGTCGCAAAAGCCCCCCGCTTCATTCAAACGTCCTAACTAATACCTAAATACGGTGTGGCCCCACGTGCAGCTCTTCCGGAGCATTAAACACACCCATCACACTCAGCTTCAACGCACCCGGATTAAATTTGTCCGGGTATAACTCAACCATCTTGGCAAAGACCTCCCTTTGGTCTTTCGGGTCACTCGCCACCACATCCCCAAAATCCTGGATATACCTCTTGGTAACCGCGAGATGCCAAACGCCATCGATCTCCTCTGCTTGCTTGTGTCCAGGGACGACGTATGCTGGCCCTAATGCTTTGACTTTCTCAATCGCCCGGATCCATTCCTCTCGCTTGGTCTTGGTGTTGGCTTCAAACAGCATCTGATGCACTTGTCCGTAGACAACATCACCACACACGGCAAGCTTGAGGTCGGGCACCCACAGAATTGTAGAGTTGCAGGTATCAGCGTGCCTGCATTCGACAGCCTCAAAGGTCCAGCGGTCTTGAAGAGTGAATTGATTGTTCTCCGGTAATGGATTGGCCAGTACCCCTGGCTGGGGAGGAATCTGACCGAGGAAACGACTTTCCCAAACGGTGCTGAAAACCGGTTCCTCTACTTGCTGCTTCATGCGCTCAATCACTCCAGGCGTTGCAACTGGAACTGCCTCTGGGAAGCGGTTGAGAATGACGGGGATTCCGAAGAAGTGATCGCCGTGTCCGTGGGTGATATAGATATATGCCAGTTTCCGCTTTGGGGCGATAGTCTCGATCCATTTGAGCAGATCCTCTGTCTGCTTGACCGTAATTGGCGTGTCGACAAGAACAGCCTCCTCAGCTGAGTAGATAAAAGTGCATGAGATTGGTGACCATTGTCCGCCTTTTGAAGGAGGCGCCGCGTGAAATGGGATGGGAGGTGCAACGTAGACTGCTGCTCGTAGTTCGGACATTGTGAACAATTGGCTTGGAATGACGGGGCAATAGACGGTTGGGTTGGGTTACAGCTATCCCTACTATATAAACCCCATTGACCCAAGGCAATATTGATGATTTCAAGTTCGAAATATCACTTTCTTCCATAGCTCCCACAATCCTCTTCGCTCCTCGAGATATCTCCATCATGCCGAAGTGGTTTTCCATCACACCATCGGTGCCCTGACACCCGAGGAAAAACAACGCATTGTCCAACAAATGACCAAAATATACACGAGCGTTGGTCTACCCGCCTTCTACTGCCATGCCCACTTCTTTGAACTTTCCCCAGAGAACATCTACGCGGGAGGAGAGAGCCCTCCCGCGCTCACTACCCTGTCCATTTGCCATATCGAGCTCTCGACAGTCAAGAGATTCAGAACTTCTTTTTCAAAGCGGTGGACGATATCCTCAGACCGATCTTGAAGCCTAAAGGCGTCGAGTGGGAGCTTGGTATCTACGAGGGCAGGTTGTGCACGCGATGTCCTGTCAGTTATTGGAATGAAATGTTAAATCAACGCTTTTTTCGTGTACATTCATGCAATTTCAATTGAATAGCTTCATGGCAGACATTCTGGGGAGTGTATGTTGTTAGTAATTGCCAATCGCAGCATACAAGGCGCAAAAGAACCCCGCCACGACCCCACCATCCAAAAGCTTGACTGGACCTCGACTTGATTCTCTCACAGCACAACCTCGTGAAGACATATTACTACTACTACTCTCATTCTCAAGTAAATACTGAGAAGAGCGTTTATCATGGCTTCATCACTGCCTACCATCCGCATTGGCTATGTCCCTGGTATGTTATACCCCGCATTGGACCATCGGAGAAAGCAGCAATCCTAGAGCTGCTTTCCTGCTGTCTTCGAGAGAAAAGACAACCGTGAATGAATTGTGCTAACATATCTCTCTGCCCAGAACACTACCTCACTCCTCTCCACCTCGCCGTCCGCTCTTCCGCCGTCTCCTCGTTGCCCTTCAAGCTCTCCTTGATTCCTTTCCCCTCCGGAACGGGACATATGATCACCTCCCTTCGCGAAAAGGAAATCGATGTTGCAATCGGGTTGACAGAAGGATGGGTTGCCGGATTGGCCGGTAAGCAGCAGGCCCAGAAGGATCCGGCCTCTGGCGGCTACAAGGTGGTGGGACACTGGGTTGACACTCCGTTGCGGTGGGCGATTGTCACTGGTCGTGAGAGGAACAACATCACCAGAGTGTCTGACCTGAAGAGTCAGCGAGTGGGAATTAGTCGACCGGGAAGGTAAGCAGCTGTCAATGCTCGAGTTAGAAGAGGTTTATCTGATGATTATGACAGCGGCTCCCACATTATGTCCTTTGTCCTTGCTCAGCAACAAGGATGGGACTCTGATTCATTGACCCCTACCGTCCTTGGTCCTTTCCAGGCCCTGCGTAACGGCGTCACCGGCGACGAGCAGCCGTCTCAGACCCCAACGGCCGAGTTCTTCATGTGGGAGCACTTCACCACGAAGCCTTTCTTCCACCCTACCTCCGAAAACCCTCAGCCACCTCTTAAGAAATTCGGCGAAATCTTCACTCCTTGGCCATCCTGGTTGATCGTCGCGTCGACCTCGACTTTCCCGGACCCGGAAAGCGACGAGAAGCTCCAGCAGCTCTTCCAGGCTCTTGACAAGGGCATTCAGGGGTTTGAGGCCGACCAGGCGCAGGTGATTAAACTACTTGGTACGGGTGAATTGGGATGCACGTATATTCAGGAGGACGCGACGGAGTGGTTGAAGGATGTTAAGTTTACCAACACTACGCGGGGAATTGATTCGAAGGTCGTGGAGAACGTTGTCGATATTCTCAAGATTGCGGGTGTCATTGACACATCGATGAGCAACGATGAAGCTATTGACCGGGTGGTTGGTATCAAGCGGTAGGCTGGGAAGGTCTATGCCTACATTTTCATTGGATACTTGATGTTCATGCGAGATGAGACTACATATGAATTATTAATGCATTCCAAAAACCTTTTGCATTGCACATGTATCTCTGCGCTACTATGTTGTACCACTTCACCTGCTTTAATGGGCGGGGGACCATGAGGAACGTCCGTTTTTGGGGTGTCTCAAAAGAACCAAACGAGGCACTAACAGGTATCTGAGAAGCTAACAATAACACTGATCTCCCGCCACGGCGCGGCATTGCCAGACAATGCGGCTGAGCCAAGTCATTGGACGGAGTGGCGTTTTTGGCCAACTCAAAGTTTCAAACAAATGTCTCAATGAGATTCATAAGGTACTTTTGAAGAGGAATATCGGGTATGCATTGAAGCCACTGGAAAGAACGCTTCCTACATACCGCACAGCCCTTGCGTTCCTCAGGCTGCCTACTGTCTCAGGTACAATCGTCGCAGGAGATCCCGCGAATCTGTCAACTTGTAACAGGACTCCGTATGAAACACTCTGTATACTCCGAAATTATTATACGCACTTTGAGCGAGGACAATACTCTGTGCTCAGCATCTTACCAATGTAGGTTCCTACGCGCTATGGCAATATCTAGTATCACAGACCTAAAGTTTCCCGCGATGGCTCAATTCTCCCTTGCATTTTCAGTGACAGTTCGTCGAATGGGGTACGCACGTCTAAGCCTGTTAGTCTTCTCTTCTATGCAGGACGCAATCATTCTAGCACGTTCGTAAAGCCAAGGATGGCATCAATGGAAGTTACGACTGCCCTTTCGTCAATTTTTACCCTGGTTCATATGCAGGTACGCGGACTGCCATCCTGACTAAGGGATAACATACCAAGGATCGGCTTGACATGGTCCGGTATGTACAACCACCAACAACAATCGACACGAGGATGACAGATACGGACTTCTAACAGACATGCCTTGAAAGGGCTAGTATGATTTGCTGAGACGTCTACTTATGCGGAAAGAGGGACAGAATCATGGTTCGCATTGGGAGGAGAGGGAGGTAATCCAGGAGACTTATAAGGCATGTCCTTGGTCCTGGATTGCTTTGATCAAAGGAGAGTGCACCGTGAAGAATCTCATCCGACATTGACGACACCAAGGGATTCTTGGTTTTGCTGCTTTAAAATTCAATCGTTTATCACATGCTCGACACATTAGTCTGATATACTTTGGTCCCTCGTCGGATACTTGCGGTCTTTCTTGCATCATGTCATTTTTTCAGAAAGCACTTGGAGTGACAGCTGCGCTTGCCTCTGTAAGAGGAGCGTATGCGAAGCTCGATCTTTCTCAGAGGGACAATGTGGTTGTTTACTGGGGTATGTATGCTACTGTTAGAGATGTGAATGATACATACTAATGCAATGCAGGCCAGAACTCGCTAGGAGCATCAACAAGCGGAGGAGGGGATGAACAGGCTCAAAAGCCGCTATCACACTATTGCAAAGGTGAGTTTACTCTATACCCTATTTGTTGAATCGGACACTAGCTAACATTTTTTTCAGATGACAATATTGACGTGAGTTGACAATCAACCAACCCAAGGGACTCAATTGACAAGTTGCTCTAGGCCATCGTCATGGCGTTCGTAATGAGTATCAACGGACCAGGAGGTGCACCGGTATATGACCTTGCCAACATTAGCAAGGAGTGCGACACATTTGATGGGACAAATCTGAAAAACTGTCCCGAAGTGGGGTGAGTAGCGCCAGCAGAGCTGTTCCGAGAGTAGCTAACAGAATCAGGGAGGACATTGCGGAATGTCAGAAGAACGGCAAGACCATCCTCTTATCCATTGGAGGAGCTACGTACAAAGAGGCTGGCTTCAGCTCTGAAAAGGAAGCCATTGCTGGTGCAGAATCGATCTGGAAGACGTTCGGTCCTACCAAAAAGAACCTGCCAGCCGAGAAGCCTTCTGAAAATGTTGCTGCACTTGGGCAAACCCAGTCCACAGAGACTCAGAAGCCAGCCACTACAGCAGCACCCACCACAGCAGCACCTAACCCGCAGTCAATTGTTGTCGCTACAGGTACAAACGCTGCTTGGAACACTCCCAATCCTCCCGTGAGTCAAGCGAGTCAAAATGGTCTTTGGCCACCACAGACGACATACCTCACCAACCTGGTGCCCCAGCTTAGCGGCCGTGCGTATGGTGCATCTGGACCCGCCTCCACGAGCAGCCAGACATCCAAGGTGTACCGTCCCTTCGGCAAGACCTCCGTCGATGGCTTCGACCTAGATTTTGAGACCACCAACTACAATATGCAGCCCTTCGCCAAGCGCCTCCGTGAATTGATAGACGGCGAGTCGGACCGAAAATACTACCTCACCTCCGCCCCGCAGTGCCCCTACCCCGACGCAGCTGACAAGGACTTCCTCGACGGACCCGGCCCGGTCGACATGGATGCCGTATTCGTGCAATTCTACAACAACCCATGTGGCCTGAAAAGCTTCGACGCGAATTCCGACGAACAACCCCAATTCAACTTCAAAACATGGGACGACTGGGCCAAGGACGGCTCCAAGAACAAAGATGTCAAAGTGCTTCTTGGTGCTCCCGCCAACGAGGAAGCGTCGATTAGCGGCTTCGTGCCTGTTTCGGAACTCAAGCCGATTATCGAGTACGCCCAGGGATTCGACAGCTTCGGAGGTGCGATGGTGTGGGACGTTACCCAGGCTTATGAGAATAAGGGATTCTTGTCTAGCGTGCAGCAGGCATTGACCCAGAGTGCTTCGCGTATGTTGCGGTATGCTTTCCGTCGGTGAGATGAGTACTAATTTTTTTTTTTTTTAAAAAAGTGTTTAGAAAACAGCGTGAGATGTCGCTTGCGCCTACACGCCTTGATCCGCGAGTGATTTATGTTTATATTTGCTTGATGATAGTATATGCATTAACATAATCTTAATGTCTTAATGTCCCCACGGGTTGAAAGTAATGCGCTATCTACATTCCTAATATCACTGGTTGGACATTCCACCCCGTGCTGCTCCTATTTCCCTCATACTGACACCTATCCAAACAGAATATAAACAATCCGCATATCTGGATAAGTTCCTGCTTCTCACACAAAGCAATTATGCATAGCCATGCACCCGATATCCCCGTTTTATTCGCCTAGCACAGCTGAAGTCCCCACTAATATCACTCTCAGCATTGGTCGATCTCCAATAGTTCGAGCATGAAACCCAATCACAGTCCTCCACGCATGCTGCCGAGACCCATAGTCCGGGCCGAGAAACTCCACCAGATATTCTTAAGTGTAGACAGATCGGCATCTTCAGGATGGCCGGATCGAGGATCCGGGGTTGTGGTATTTGTACGGAGTACGGAGCATTTGTACAAATATAAAGTCGGAGTATTTTTTATCTGCACAGTCTCAATTCAGTACTCCCCATGAGTGTTATACAATTAAATCTGTGTATCCAGTATTAGTTCTACCAGTATGCGTCAATGTCACTATAGTAGAATGTCAAGAAGTACAGGGTATGGAGTATGTACGCAGGAATGCACCTTCCACCCGACTCATCTTCATACATCGACTATTGAACCGCTGCATGAATGCCGATCCCATTCTTTCAGCTACGGCTGATCCGATTCAACTCGAGTACCCCAGAGACCCGTGTATAAAAACCGAACACCGTCTCTAGAATTCTATTCCCAGATCAGTCTTCTCTCCCATCCCCGGTTCAAGTCCAGCATCATGACTCACAAGGTGTTCTCCGCCTTCTACTCCCTTTTTACCCTCTTGACCGTTGCCCTCGCGGCCTCCGTCCCCAAGACTGACTACGATGTCATTGTCGTGGGTGGTGGTCCGTCCGGTCTGAGCGCCATCAGCGGTCTCTCGCGTGTTCTGCGTCGGACTGCTTTGTTCGACTCGGGCGAGTATCGCAACGCACCTACCCGCAACATGCACGATGTTATTGGCAACGATGGTACTTCCTCACCATTTACCCGATTTTTAACACAATGCTAATATAAACAGGAACCGTCCCCGCTGAATTCCGTGGCGCCGCCCGCAAGCAAATCCTCCGTTACAACACCTCCACCATCATCGACACTTCCATTTCCTCCATCAAGCCCATTGAGAACATCTTTGAAGCCACCGATGCCTCCGGCAAGACCTACACGGCCCGCAAGGTCGTCCTGGGCACTGGTCTCCGTGACGTCCTCCCTGACACCCCCGGTCTGGAGGAAGCTTTCGGCAAGGGTATCTTCTGGTGCCCCTGGTGCGATGGCTACGAACACCGGGACCAGCCGTTCGGTATCCTGGGTGCTCTGCAGGATATCATTGGCAGCACCTTTGAGGTGTACACTACCTTGAACCACGACCTCATTGCCTTCCTGAATGGCACTCACACCCCCGAGCAGGAGGATATTCTGACCAAGGCCCACCCCGACTGGAGGGACATCGTGGAAGCGTACGACATCCGCCTCGACAACCGCACCATCACCGAGATCGAGCGCATCCAAGATGGCGAAACCCACAAGGACGACCAGGGTCGCCAATTCGACAAGTTCCTCGTGCACTTCACCGAGGGTGAGCCCGTCGAGCGCAACGCTTTCATCACTAACTTCGACACTGCGCAGCTCTCGACTATCCCCGACCAGCTTGGCCTCAAGATGCTGGGTAACAAGATCGACACGCAGACGAACTCTGGTCTGCGGACTTCTCTGCCTGGTGTGTGGGCTGTCGGTGATGCGAACAGTGACAACAGCACCAACGTGCCGCACGCTATGTTCAGTGGCAAGCGCGCTGCTGTTTTTGCGCATGTCGAGATGGCGCGCGAGGAGGCTCAGGCTGCTATCTCGAAGCGTGTGCCTGAGCGCCGCATGTTGGAGAAGGACACTGAGCGCCGCATGGGTAATGAGATTGAGGCGTTGTACAACAGACTACGCCGCCGTGGTTAGACGTATGACGATGGATATACAGTACGGAATAGTAATGTCTATTTTCTAATTCAATTGCTTCGATGAACATCAATGTCTCTGATCGTAATGAGTCAATATATTCATGGTATCGCGTGCTTCTATATATTTACCCCAAGCAAAACCTGGAATCTCTCTTGTACTAAATCGCCTAAGTATACCAAGTCGGCTCCGGAACCTCCCCAAGCAGCACATATCTTCCCAACTCCCGATTCTTATAAGCCACAGGGTCATGCAACGTATGCGTCCGAATATCCCTCCAAAACCGATCCAACCCAACCTTCAACCCCGTCGCCCTCGCCCCAGTAACCTCAAACACCCCGTTCGCAACTCTCAGGCCCGTATCCGTCGCAACAACCTTAACACTCGCAACCCACTCCGCAACCTCTCCACGCTCATGCGGAGTCAGTGCGCCCCGGTTAGACCCATAGGTACTGTAGAGGGAAGAGAGTTGCTCGGCAGCGCGGTCGGATAGGGCTTCCGCGGCGCGCAGGTGCGCGAAGAAGTTACCGTAGCGCTCGAGGATATAGAATTCCTCTGTGGCAGAGGCCTTGTTGTCGCCGCCAAAGGGCCAGGGACGGGTACTTGTGGTTGTGTATTTGGAGGCGAAGGATAGGGCACCCTGGGCGATGCCGAGGTAGAAGTTGCCGAAGACGAGTTGGATGCTGTGCTTGTTAGTATGGACTATTTAAGTTGGGTATGGGGAAGGGGAACGTACGTGGGAAGCAATAAGCTGGGGAATTGGATCTTGAGTGTATCATCGCGCGGTTGCTTAGATGCAGCATCCCAACCAAGGGCATCTTCCCATGGCACGCGGACGTTGTCGATCTTCACGCCACCAGATTCGGTCAATCGTAGTCCGACGTTACTCCAGTTATGCGCGAACTGGATACCCGGTTGCTTTGTGGGCACGATAGCAAAAACGTGGTCTTGTGTGCCGTCTAGCACACCCTCGAGAACAGTGAGATCAGAAACCACACCACCCGTGTTGAAGAACTTCGCGCCGTTGAAGATAATGCTGTCGCCGTCGGGGGTGATCTTCAAGTCACTGTCGCGGGGGTTCACAGCGCCACCGACAAAGTAGTTATTCGCGATGATGGTCTCGTGCGTGCGCTCGATTTGCTCGGACGTTCCAACGACGTTGGCGGTTGTCGACCACAAAAGGTGGTAGCCAAGGAGCATTCCAATAGACCTATCATCAACTCAGTTAGTCAAACCATCCATCCAAATTCTTTCCAAGAAGTGTATACATACCCATCTGCCTTCGCAACCTCCCGAATCGCCTGATACCCCACCGTCCACGGCTGCTCACCACCACCATACTTCTTCGGTCCCAGCAACTTGAGCAATCCGGAGTGCTTGAGAAGCACAACTTCCGCGCGCGGCGATTTATGCTCTAGATCTCGCTGCGGCGCATCTTGCGCAAGGACATCAGCGACTTCGCGCGCGCGGGACAGCCATTCCTCTGCGGTGGAGGGGAGGGTTGCCCATTTGGACTCGTAGGAGGCGTAGATGGAGGGGTCTGTAGCGGGAACGTCGGCCATGTTGATTAGATTGCGATGAATTGATTGTTGGTGCTGTTGGAGGGATTGAGGGGGGTTTGGTGGATGTATTTATGGAAATGGTGTATACATGAGGGGCATGTAATTACACGATGCCCGCAGTGGATGATGTGATATGGGGTGATCGAGATTAGCTTCAATTGCGCTAGTTTCATCAATTGAGTGGACCATGTCGTTATCGGGTACATATACGGATGTAGATCATATTGAGGATACAGGGTATACAAAGTATGGAGTACAGACAAGAGTAGGAGTGGGTATACAGCATCAATACGAACAGGAACATGGTGCAATAGTATATTAAGGTTTGTAGATCATCCATTGTACCACTGCCCTATCTATGTACTCCGTATGTCGAACATCCAAATAATCCCTCTATACAAATTACGTGCGCTTCTTCTTCGCAAAATAGCGACTAGTATCACCCAATGGGAGATCCAGCAACGAATCCTTCAGCATCAAATGGAACACAATATACCATCCCACAAGACCCGCAACGAAACAAAATGCACCACCAGACTTCTTCAACGCGACTGACGATGCCTGATGCCCGTCCGCCGCGGCAAAGTAGCTCGCCGCGACAGTAAGAAAGCCCAAGTCCACGAAGAAAAACACCAATATATACGCGAGATTGCTAGGTAGCGACCCGATCAGGAATGTAAAGACGAAGACCGTCCACAGGATCATGAAAAATCCGACTGCGTTGTTGTACTGCGCTGTATCGTTGCCGAATGCCTGCTCGACTCCGAAGGCGGGTGTTAGGAGGGCTCCGTAACCGGCGTAGAAAAGACCTGACCAGTCAGTTACCGGATGATAAGCTATGGTGTTGTGTGCGAACATACCGAAAGCACTAAAAACCGTGTACGCAAAGCCATTACCGATAGACAGCTCCCATTGTGCCGTGATCACCAAACCAAACGCCGCGATGAAGAAGAAATTGGCAACAAAGGCATTCGTAACAGTAACGCCTCGCCATTCCATAAGACTCAGTGAGAGCGTCGTCAGGGTTGTGCCGAATGCGCCAAGGGCTAATGCAGACTGCAAGAATCAGCAAGCGTTCATTTCATCGCATGCATGAAGAGGCGAAGTTTACCCCTGCTCCAAGGGACTTGGGCAACTCGACAACCAGCGTTTCCGCTCGTGCCTGGTGCTCCAGGTCCACCTGGTTGGTCCCAGTGCTGGTGCTACCATGGGTCTCATGGGTTTCTTTCGAGGTCATTTTCAGCAGTTCTTCGTACGAGGACGACTGGCAAGTTGCAAGAAATGTCTTTACATTGTGAATTGCGACTATCAATGGCTATAAATGACCATATCCCAGAAAGACCTGTTCTCCAAAAATCAAACGCCGATTGCACCATTGCAAACTCCGATGGCGAAGGAAGATCCTGCCCAGAACCATCCCGTTGGAGACCGGTCTATGCTCATTTTTAAGCTTAATTAGAGCCATTGTCCAGTTCCGTGTTTTTAGGGCGATTGTATAATGGAGTTTGCGATGGTGTGCTCGCAGGATGGAGGCGTCTTTCCATTTTAGGAAGTCACATGACCCACTGGCGCAAATAGTGCTTTGATGGGCAATGGTCTACGGTGTAACTCTGGGTGACGGCGGAAAAGACACGCTTGTGCGTGGTGTTTGGATTAAAAACTATGGTCTTTTCACCTTGGGGTCGCCACTTTAACAGCGGATCTTGACTATACTAAATTCGTTCAAGTTCTATATCTAGGTCTATACCTGGCGCGTACATCATGAGTGTAGAAGATAAAATGGCCGCCGTCTGCCCGTACATGACCTTTCTTAATCTCTTTGTTTCTTCCATCCAAGAAACCCTGCCGAATTCTATGATTCCCAGATCATACATAAACATCGCTGTCAGTGAAAGAAGTTCATTATACCGCCAGACCAATGACTCAGGAGAGCAAAACAAAAACAGCAGGCCAGGTAGACTGGAACAGCTTTGTCCAACAGCCTGATGTTCATTTCAAGAGTAATTTCACTGAATCAACAAAACGAAATATGCATCTTGTGTGATGCAATTTTCAAAGGTGCATATTTGCTACTGTGTATAGCTCTTTGGTTGCTAATCTAATTCTTAAGGTTTTGTTAGGGGTTGAACTCAAGTTGTCTTAACCTAAAGCTACCCTTTATTATACAAGAAGGAATCGTTGAAGAAGAAACAAACAGAGCAGAAGCGAAGGCAGTCTTTCATGGACATCTGGGAATGATACTCCCAACAGTATCCTCAGTGATCCTTCCTTGGAAGTCAGGAGTCGTACGAAGGTCACCGCTAGTCCTTGTATACAGGAGGTTCGTATGAAGGTCGTCAATGATTGATTCGGACCCCCTTGCAGGTTGCGTTCTGTGCTGGCCTTGGCCGAACTTGTCATCCTTTGGGTTCGTACGAGAACCCCATAACAGGTTTACCTCACTGCTTCAACCACCAGATTACAAGTACTGGCTCAAGAATGTCACACTGAAACTTATCAAAGGGTTCCTTCGTTGAGCCGTCACATAGAGTTTCCTTACGCTCAGTGAGCAGGTGTAGGCCCAAGCCATCCCTAGGCCAGATTGCTAGGCCAGAAGGTACCTGTTGGATTTCTTTCACTGCCTCAGAGCAGGGTTTGTCCAAGTGTTTCCTCAAGATGTCCATGGTGGCGTGTGGGCTAGCTCGGCGGGCTGGGTGATTCTCAGGGAGGTGTAGGAAGATGCAGGGGGGGGCTTTTCCTGTTGCAATGCTTTATAAGGAGTCTTAGGTATTTTGGGGTGTGCCTTGGGGGCATTGGGTGTTTTCTTAGCAGCTTCAGCATAGTTGTTGTTTTCAGAGGGAGGGGGTTGGTGATTCTCCTCTGCTTCAACAAGGTGTCCAGTCACCAGGTTCTTGCTGAAGTTGAGGACCAGGGTTCTGATGTCTTTGCCCAGGGAGGCAGCTCCTTTGAGGCTTTTCTTTTCCCAGTAGGCGATTTTTTGGTTGACTGTAGAGACAAGCTCCATGACTTCATCTCCTGTGGACTTTATCTGCGCTGTGCGCGAAGCTACTGCCGCTGAGATGTGGCTTTGTAGCTCCAAGTCCAGCTGGCTTTGGGGGAATCTGGGGGGCGGCAGTATTATGCTCGATCGTCGTCAGGGGGATCGCGAGCAGATGGTCGCGATTTTTCGGTGGTAGTGCTGCAGCATACATGGTTCTCCGAATACACACACACACACACACATACCTACTTTCATGGCCAGATGATCACGTGGTCTCGTTCGTCCATGACCCACTTCCTGAATAGTTTCGATCTGAGAGACGTCTTGACGTCTCGAGGCACCCAGTAGGGTCTAGCCCTTTACACTACCCCCCTCCTTCTCCCCCAGCGGCATGCCCCCTGGGTGTGGGCTGGCTCACCCTGTAGAGCAGGTTCATCAGCGATTCTATCCCCAGGCTCAGTCTCAGCCTCAATTCCACCTTCTTGTGATGCTTTATGAGCCTCCCACTCATCCAATGCCTCTGTCTCTTCCATTTCTCGTGCATTGTTCCATGTGGGGGTCTGATAGCCTACCCATTTGACCAGAAACTTGTGGCAGAAGCCACGGCCAACTTTCTTCATACATTCATCCAGAATGGATTCAATCTGCCATTCTTCTTCACCTTCAATCAATTCTGCTGGAGGCTGGTAATCATTGTTGTGCTGACTCAGGAACAGATCTGAGGATGCTGGGCGCAATAAAACAGTATGGAAGATGTCATGGACTGTGTTTGGTGTGTCCAGACAATAGGCATGTGAACCAACCTTCTCCAGGACTGTGAACTTAGCATGCTTAGCATCCAGTTTCTTGCTTGGTCTTTCTGTCCATATATTGCGCAGGTCCAGCCAATCTTTGTCACCAGCATGATAGTCCTGAGCCGCATCTCATCAGTGGTTCATGTATTCTTCATATTGATCGGAATCGGATTCAGCATGGCGCTTGCCATTGGACTGCATCGTGAATTCGGCATGCCAAGCACCTCACCATTCACCATGGAGATTCGAAGACGTGTGTGGTGGACGCTATTCGTGTTCGTGTCTGGCGTCCAGCTTATCCTAGGGCGACCCGCCGTGTCGCTGGTCGGCGTCACCGTCCATCTCCCCGCTAACGTGGACGACCACGACCTTGCAGTCAATATGGACGTGCTCCCCGAATGCGGCACAGGACCAACCATTACATCCTGCCTCATTGCGCAGGTCAACCTCGCCAAGATCGCCAACGCTGTCCAGGTCGAGCTGCTCACGCACCACCTACCCACGTACCAGAAAGCCGCAGCTCTAGAACAACGCATCTCAGCATGGTACCACGAGCTCCCAGCACACTTCAGCCTTGACGTCCCTTTTGAACCACGCTTCGACATCCCGCGTCGCGTACTCCTATGGCGCTCCTTCCACCTCCGCATCGTCATCAACCGTCCATTCCTCTTCCAACGCATCACCGCCAAATCCAACCTCGCGACATCCACAGGCCTCATCGCTTCCTGTCTTGCCGCGGCCGACGAGTGCGTCACTTCTATTTGCGCATTCCTCGAGTCAACTGATAACCGCCGTCGCGGACTGACCTGGTACGCCACCTGCTGGCTGCTCACTGCTACTTTCGTACAGGCGACCTGCTACATTTATGAGCCGGGGAATGCGCTCGCGCCCGGTTAGAAGAGTCATATTCAGCGCGCGGTTGATTGCCTTGGTAGTCTGGGATCTTCACATGACATGGCTCTGCGGGCAAGAGATGTGCTCCAGACGGTTCTTGGTATGTCTATCCCCCAAACCACCAAAAATATAAAAAGCTAACGATTATAGAACACGGGCATGGATTAGCCGCACCGGGTAATTTCACTCCGCACACTTCGACGCAGATCCCGGCACCGTTTCGATCACTCTGGGCACCATCGGACGATCAAGCGAACTTCAATCCGTTCTCTATGGGTCTAGATCAGAGTATACCGGGGTATCCACAGGGGTCTTTTAACGCAGAATTTCTAGATGCAACAGCTGGTTTGATGATACAGAACTTCTTTGATAGTACCGATGAACGGCAAAATAACTCATGCATGCCTGGGTAATTATAATGGTCATTGATTAATAAGGGGTGTCTCTGTATACTGAAATGAAAGCCATCTATCTCCTGAACTATACTCCCCATGCAATGACAGTCTCAAGGATACGTCATTCCAGAGGTCATTTGATATCCCGTGTATTCAGGCCTAGTTCGCAATTCCACCTCTTTTTCCTCCTGGATTACGGCGCAACAGGAACAACAGAAAGACACACAACAGTCACCACAGCAGCTACCTTCAATACCAAAACGTTCACGAGTTTCACCTCGCTTGACCGTCTGTATAATCCATTGCGAACCAAGAAGAGCAAGGAAAGCAAAGAGTGAACACTGAGAGTTGAATGATTGTCAGACTGACAAATCTGTATTCAATCGGTAAAAGTCCTCCTCGTCACTTACCTGAGTGTTGCAATGGCTAAAGTCAGGTAGTTCTGGATCTCTCGTCCTGGCTTGAGTCTTTCCAAATGTAATACAGGGGAGACAGCTGCCCATAAGGCCTGAAAAAATGTCAATTTCAATTTGGGTATTCGTAAAGTTGTCATTGGCACTTACAAAGTGAACCTGGTTCAAAGCAGCTAAACAACGAGTAATTCCATCGCTTGTTGTGGGTAATTCTTTGCAGGTGTTCGGAAGTCGCCTGTTGATATGTTGGCGGGCCGCTTGGCCATGCTCGATAGACCTTTTCCTTTTCTATCTCCATTGCGGAAACGAGATGAGAGGGATGATTGGATACTATGCTACAACATTGCGGCAAATGGGCAATTTATACCTTTATTGGGACCGTCAGTCACGAGTAGAGCTTGAGACTATGGTTCTCGCCGAAAAGGGAAGTTCGTCTTCGTATTCATCTTAGTTTCCGCTGTGGAGAATATGGGCGCCCTCAGCCTACAATATGAGTGGCCGAGAATGATTTAGCTTGTTGTTCATTTTTTCAACTCTTATTCTTTTGGATCCAATAATTTCGCCGAATCTTCGCCGTTAATAGAAAAGAATTACTCAGCGAGTCCCTGATCGGCGACTTCCTATAGGGGCCTAGCGAGGACATATTCTTCTCGAATACGACTTCGAACTTCCTCTTTGCGTCTTCTCTTCCTTCCTTCCAATCCAGCATGAATGGCCACGCCAATCGATACATGACAGCCTCCTCACGTAAGTCCCATCGAAAGTCGCGCCTTGGATGTGATACCTGTAAGCGGCGCAGGGTAAAGGTACGTATCTATGTCCTGAAGGTGAACAGTCACGTATTGACAATGTGATTGGTCAGTGCGACGAAGTCAAGCCAGCATGCACGAACTGTTTGCGCCATTCAGTTGAATGTGATTATCAATCAGGGCAGTCGATTTCTCGTAGGGCGCCTCCTTCGACGCAGGGCACAGAGGTACAGCTATCACTTCGCAGGAGCTATACATTTTACTCCTCGTCTCAGTCAGATTTCAGACCACCGAAAAGAGGAAATGCTGCGGTCAGAAAACAACAACAAGAGGACCCACCCACGGGCACGCCCTCTAATACGCCCTGTGACACCCCCTCCAATACGCCCTCAGAGCTAACGACCGCGTCCTTCGGGTTCAGTGGGACTGATATGGAGTTGTTCCATCACTACCTTACCTCGGAAGAACTAGGCGCAGACAAAAACCCCGAAGCCCAGACGACAATACACTCTCGACTTCCTCGTCTGGGGTTCTCATTCCATTACGTCTTGCACCTTATCCTGGCGTTCTCGGGGTTCCATTTAGCGCGGATCCAAAGAAATCGCGGATCCATGCACTATATCGAAGCTGAAAGGCACTATGGAACTGCCCTGCGAAAGATGACGGCTGCGATACCCTTCCTGAATCAACACAACTGCCACGCACTCTACATGGCTGCCATTCTCATTTTTATCTGCTCTTTCGCAAAAGGGCCTCGGCCGGATGAGTTTCTGGCTTTTCGTGATGATGGAAACGCTGGTTATCTGTTTCTTTTCATGGGTATCCGGTCGATATTGGAGAATTGTTCACCTGGCGTGCTTGAAATACACTCAGAAGCCACAGAGAATAACTTGCAGCCTAGCTCTCCAAACCATAACAGACAAGTCTCCGAGTACAGCAATCAGATAGAACAATTGCGGACCTTGATTGTGGTTGGATGGTCAAGTGACGACCATCATCTTCTGATTTATACCACTGTTCTTGATAGACTTCATCGGTGCTTCGATTCCATATACGGACACCAGTTGCCGTTGACAGATGGAGAACTCTGGCCGCAAATATTCGGCTGGTTATATACGCTGCCCAATGATTTTGTTGCTGATCTGCAGCATCGAAACTCATTTGCATTGATGATTTTCGCTTTCTATACTGTTTTGCTTAAAAGAATCAGCTCCGTGTGGTTTATTCAAGGATGGCCTGAACACATCATAGCTGGCATCCATCGATTTGTTCCTGAGGAATATCAAACGTTTATACAATGGCCGATGGAGCAGATGAAATAAAGCCGTTATTTTCTCACCTTATTATCTATCTTAATACACAACAAGCTTTATACACCTCTAGTTGATTCCGCCATTGCTATGAGCACATTTCCTTCTCACTGTCGACGCAACGGAAGCTCTCGGCAGACGACGAGTCACCGCCTTGGTAGACAGCCTTGGAAGGATAAGGACAGAGAATGCGTTCCTGGTGAGACCCGTCTTTACTGCTGAACTCAACCGGCAGAGTGTCCGGGGCAGTGCCATTCTCCACCCATGAACGCAGTGCGTCGAATACAGTCTTTGGTTGTCCTCCGTTGCCGCCAGAGCAGTGTCCCAAACCAGGAACTTCAAAGTGACGATAGAAATCATGCACATCAGGGAGGCGTTCCTTGACAGCATTATAATAGTGCTCTGTTCCTTCTGTCGGAATTGAGTTATCGGCCTAATCTTCGTCAGTTATTTGGAGAAGTTCATACCAGTAAGGAGACGAGGCTTACCATGCCATGATAGGAGATTAATTTGCCTCCTGCGTTGTGAAACTCGGTGAGATCAGGGTCAGCCGTGCCAATTATATCAGTGTATTCCTGAACCCCGAGATGGAAAAGCCAGTCGAAATCTTCATGATCAATGACGGTGTTGTTGTAGTTTTGCAATTTCTGCAAAAACAGTCCGATCCATAGACCCTGCACACCCGATGGTGCCTGGGCATTCGTGCCGTCGTTACCAAAACCACTGATATTCGCGCCCGGATTCAATCCATACCACAGGAATTCCCCCTGGGTAGACCGAGCGCCCGACCAGACCGCGTCAGCTAGCATCGCTGCTCCCTTGCTGAGTTGCATTGTATGTCCAGTAGAGGAGCAGTTGAAGGTGCTATTCACAGCACTAAAAGGGTCGTAGTTGCAAAAAGACACGTCCGAAATAAGGCCATCGACAACACCATCCATCGGATCACAGTACGCGATTGCTTCAGCTGTCAGGTACTCCAACTCGCAAGATTGAGGAGATTCTTGTGTCCAGCTGCTGAATAGATACGGATAAGTAAACGAGCTCACGAATTGCGGCCAGTATATCGCCGGAGCTGACGCAGCAATTCCATCGTACGCGGTGGGATATCGCTGCGCAAGCATGAGGCCCTGTCTACCCCCCTGGGAACAACCACTCCAATACGAGTACGCTGGATCGCGACCATAGAAGCTTCTGATGAGGCTCTTCCCAATGACAGCCTGATCATGTAAAGACCTCGACCCCAGATTCTGCAGCGCATACAGATCGACATTTCCATCGCTCTTCAAAGCCCAGGAGGTCGGGGAATCGCCCAGACCCGCATCAGTAGTCGTCACCGCATACCCCTCCCCAATGGCGCCGGCCATGAAAAACTGGGACAGCACAAAACGGCCCGCCTGCCAGCCGCCGCCCCCGGTTGCTTGCAGACGCTCGTTCCAGTTGCTTAGGGGGAGCCAGGTTTCGACGTTGACAATGTCGTTTTGGCCGGGGTGGGTGTAGGTGACTGTGATGTTGCAGAAGGATGCGTTGGTGATTGAGATTTCACCATGGTTGTAGTTGAAGTCGGCAAAAACATCAAAGGAGAAGTTTGTTACTGGGGATGCTGAGAGGGAAAGTATTTCGGCTCCAAGTACAGTCGGAGGAGCTATGGCCGAAGGGGCACATGCTGTCATAGGGATGGTGGAGAGGTTCATAGGTGGTGGTATTGTAGCGCGGGTGTGTGGGATAAAGAGGATAAGCAGAGTTGTTGATGGTGCCCATGAGTATATTTTTATAGTCAATATTGACTATCCAAAGAACTGAATACGAACGCGGATTTCCTCATCTAGCCATCGATCTCGCGAGGTATAGACGTAATAAGAAACTCCGGAATTTTTCCGTCAGGTAAAACTAACGGTCCATATATTTCCCAGATAGGAAACTCGCATTCGCATTTGGGCCTTCCATAGACTAGACCTGGCTTTGGGCCGGGTTTGGGCCGGACCTCAGGCCCATGGCCCGGCCCACGAAATGCCCATTTAGCTCCAAATTGCATAAACCTAATGCATAACTTGCTGACTCAGCTCGATAAAATACCCTCGTTTTGCATACCATCTCTTAACTGTGCTGTAAATACCATATTTACAAACGCCCTTTGATTGCAGAGATATAATATATATATTCATTGTATAACGTGTATGATAAGCGGGTGAGACAGATAAGCAAGTGAGACACTTGACCGCACCAGCATAAAATAATACTAGTAGATTCAACCATAACGCTGGACTCCTGCAGACCATGAACCCATCCTCACAACCATCCAATGGGGCATGAATAACCTACCCCGGGATACTCCACCTCTCCGCTGGTCTACCCTCAATGACAAGTTATTCCAGGAGACAATACAAGGGGAGAAAAAGCATGTGGATGGAATAGCCTCTACTCTCCCCCCTTGCCCTTCTCCCTCCCAACTAGATGAGCTCGCACTTAGCATCACCCAGGCGATCTCCACCTCTCTGGAGGCCTCGACCAAGCGAGTATATCCCCGGCCCTGTGGCCACAAATGGTGGAACCAGGATTGTTCCAAAGTAGTCAAGACACTCCGCAGGGTCACACAAGACCCAACATCCACATCAGAGGACATTGGGGATGCTAAACAAGCCCTCCACTGCGTCATCCAACACAGCAAACGCCACTTCTGGCGTTCAAAAGTTGATGAATTTGAGGAACCCAAGGATGTTTTCAATGCAGTAAAGTGGAACAGAACTGAAGGAACTTTACCTATCTCCCCTCTAAAAGAGGGAGACCGACTTCATTCCTCCACAGATGACAAAGAAAATTATTTGGTCCAGGCACTTTTGCAAAAGGCCTCATGCTCAGAGGATGTGGAGGTCAATTTGGAGCCTATCAATGATCCCAAACTGCCTTTCCCAACCATCACAGAGAAAGAGATATACACTGCAGTTGCCAAACCCAAGAACAGCACCCCAGGAAAAGACAGTGTGACCACCTCTATCCTCAGGAAGGCATGGCCCTCCCTGGGACCTGCCATCTCAACACTGTACTGACACTGCCTAGACCAGGGCTGGCACCCTACTCCTTTCCGAGATGCTTCACTCGTGGCTTTACCAAAACCAGGAAAGAGAGACCGAAGCTCCCCCCGAGCATACAGACTAATCTTTCTCCTTTCAGTACTGGGAAAAGGCCTTGAGCGCCTAATAGCCCGCAGAATGGCATGGATTGCTATTAAATACAAAATCCTCCACCCACAGCAATTTGGGGCTCTCCCACTGCATTCTGCAACAGACCTAGCCGCTGCTTTGATCCATGATGTTGAGGAGGCATGGTCTCGAGGTCTGAAAGCCTCCATGCTCACACTGGATGTGCAAGGCGCTTTCGACGCTGTCCTATCAGGAAAACTGATCAGACGACTTCAGGAGCAGGGATGGCCTATTAATGTGATCTGATGGGTAGCTAGTTTCACCCAAGGTTGAACAGCCAGCCTCCGCCTAGGGAACCACATGAGTCAGACTTTCCAGGTTCCAGCGGGTCTCCCACAAGGCTCCCCAATCTCTCCAATCCTCTTCATGTTATTCAT